CATATATTTAAATATGTATAAATAATCCTATTAAATGCATTTATTATTTTATATTATATTTTATTACACACCTCAATGCATTCTCAATAATATATATAGTCACCAGTCAATATTTTAACATTTTTCTGCATATATTTAAATATGTGTATAAATAATCCTATTAAATGCATTTATTATTTTATATTATATTTTATTACACCTCAATGCATTCTCAATAATATATATAGTCACCAGTCAATATTGGTAACATTTTCTGCATATATTTAAATATGTGTATAAATAATCCTATTAAATGCATTTATTATTTTATATTATATTTTATTACACCTCAATGCATTCTCAATAATATATATAGTCACCAGTCAATATTGGTAACATTTTCTGCATATATTTAAATATGTGTATAAACAATCCTATTAAATGCATTTATTATTTTTATATTATTTTATTACACCTCAATGCATTCTCAATAATATATATAGTCACCAGTCAATATTGGTAACATTTTCTGCATATATTTAAGTATGTGTATAAATAATCCTATTAAATGCATTTATTATTTTATATTATATTTTATTACACACCTCAATGCATTCTCAATAATATATATAGTCACCAGTCAATATTGTTATCATTTTCTGCATATATTTAAGTATGTGTATAAATAATCCTATTAAATGCATTTATTATTTTATAATATGATGAACAACACTTAAGTTGCATAATTTAAGCGTATGTTTTTCAACTCCTATCTATCCTTATTCAAAACAGGTTATTGTTTTATCGGGTGACAGGATTTATTAATCAAACTGCAGCAGAAACTTTTTATACATAAATAATACCAAAATATAAATAACACTAATAAATACTAAATCTATATCCCGTATATCTAAATAAATTAAAATTAATCTGAGAGTATATATGGACTTCTTCAGATTCTATAATCTGCCTTGGTATTGCTAAATCCTCTTATATTTAGATTTAATACCGACGAAGTGTTTCAGAAATCATTTCTTGCTACATTTGTATTTGCCATTTTCATATACTTTTGTTTTAATAAAGTAATATGATCTCTCTTGAATTATTGAATATTAAAGCTGCTATGAAAGTTGGTTCACTGTGTCGTTCTAGACAATATTTCTTGCCAGAATCTATCTTACATATTTATAAGTCTACCATTCGTCCATCCTTTAAAACTTGCTGCTACATCTGGTCTGGTGTTTCTGCTATGTATTTAAAGATTCTAGATAAAATCCAAAGAAGAACTTGTAATGTTATTGGCCTTGACATGACATCTCGGCTTCTGGCATTTTCCCAATTTTCCTACCACCGTAATATAATTTCCCTATGTCTTTTCTCTAAATATTTTCCTGATAATTATTCTGATGAATGGTCCTCTATAGTATCTAGACTTTATAAATTTAAGCGCAGCACTAGATTGGCGACAAGATGTCTTCATTTTACACTTGAAATTACTAAATGTAACCGTAAGTTCTATGCTAACAGTTTCTTCTTTCGAACTTCTTGCTTGTGAAATTCTCTTCTGGCTTCTTGCTTTCCAGCCAACTTTGATGTTCAAAAATTTAAATGCCATGTCAATCTTTATCTTCTGTTTTCTTAATTCCTGTTCTTTTATTGTTCTCTCTCCTTAATAGTGTTGTTTCTCATATTCTCTCACAAACCCCTTGCGTCTTAGTGGCTTTATTGCCTCGCTTGCGGTGAAATGATTAAAAAGATTTCATTAGTCTATGAACCATTCTATGAATCGGTTGCCTTTGAAAACATCTTGGGTCAAGGTGGTCAATAATCAACTGCATAATGTGACGAAGGTCTGTCCTAAATTACTTTAAAGAATAATATTTCTTACATTTTCTCCAAGAAATTTCAGTAATATCCATCAAGTTCGAAAGAAGCTATAGTTCTACTTCCTTCAATAATCGGCCAAAATATTATCCTTTCCACTTTTATTTTCTAAGTTGTGTTGGCTTACATCGTTAAGGAGCAAAACTCTAAAGCAGCAAAATCGAATCCATCCAATATAGCTCTCGTTTCCCCATTAAAAAATTATGTTGATAATTCAGTCCTTATGTACGGTTTTGCCTAACTGATATAAATGTCTTTCTGATGTTTACTGAAAGGAGGCAGTTTAGTCTTTCCGTATTTTTAGACAATGTTCCTAATATTCTGTGTCTTTTTTCTTTCACAGCATCGAGATAATTTCTTTCTGGTCAATCTACTTTTTTACGTTGTTTATATTTTTTAATTTTCATCAAATCTCTGTGACACTCTTAAAGACAACATAATGTTCTTATCATTGTTTGCAATTACTTTTTCTATAAATATCTGTTAGCGACTGAGTTTGAATTCCCGCCTATTTTTTCCTTATTTTTTTCCTATTTTTTGCAATTTCCAACGTTGTTTACCTACCATTCAGTAACATTACAATATATCCATTCTCATTGATCGTTCTATTATTTTCATGAGGCCTTACCTATAACTACAGAATGAACTCTTCCTAACACTATATATACTACGCCTCTCAAGAGAGAGGGTCGAACCAAGCCGAGCTTCTCGGCTTGACGGTCGAACTCACTGCCTCTGAGCAGAGAGGAACCCGGACGAGGCTCCGCCGAAGGGCAGAATCTCGTTCGGTGAAGTTGATCAACCCGATCTCGTTTACACGGGTTCTGCGGGCATTTTTTGGCCGAGCCTACGGGCTCGGGAAACCCACTTTAAACTCGTCCTTGTGCCATATGCAACCCTCGTGGGGGTGGCTAGATACCGAACCAAGCCGAGAAGTTCGGCTTGACGGTCAAATTCACTGCCTCTGAGCAGAGAGGAACCCGGACGAGGCTCCGCCGAAGGGCAGAGTCTCGTTCGGGGAGGTTGACCAACCCAATCCCGTTAATACAGTTTCTACGGGCATTTTTTGGCCGAGCCTACGGGCTTGGGAAACCCACGTTCAACTCGGCCTTGTGCCACATGCAACCTTCGTGGGGGGTGACTAGATACCGTATCGAGTCGAGCTTCTCGGCTTGACGGTCAAACTCTCTGCCTCTGAGCAGAGAGGAAACCGGACGAGGCTCCGCCGAAGGGTAGAGCCTCGTTCGGGGAGGTTGACCAAAACGATTATGTTTTTACAGTTTCTACGGGCATATTTTGGTCGAGCCTACAGGCTCGGAAAATCCACGTAAAACTCGGCCTTGTGCCACATGCAACTCTCGTGGGGGGCAAGTAAATATCGAATTGAGTCAAGCCGATAGTAGTTCTCTCCAAACCAGACTGACACCTTCCACATCTTGTATCATTATTTATATGTAATATACCTTCGTTAGTTCTACTCTTGTATTCGTGTTGTTCTTCCTTGGTTCTAACCTGGACCACAACAATTATTTAAGATTTCTGGCATTGATGGGTTTGCCTATCGCCCGCTTCATACTCACCCCAGTTTTTGAGCAAGAGTAGAGGTTTATCTCTTGTTCACTGTTTAGGATTGGGTTTCCGGTTCCTTCTACAGTAATTTCATAATCTGTCACGCTCAATAACCCCTTGCGTCTTAGTGGCATTATCGCATTGCTTGGAATGAATTAATTAAATAAAAAATCATTACATATCTGAAATTCAAAAAAGAATAACATCATTAATATAGTTAGTTAGTTCCACATGGCCGTCTAACTAACATGGCCTTCCTTACACCAGACCAAGAGATAAATAGTAAATAGTATTAATGTAATCGTGTAGAAAGCGAAGCTTCATTTAGAAGCATCTTAACTGCCGTAAGGCAGTATTTTAGTACTGGAAATATTCTCTTGATATCGCATGTAATAACAGCTTTCATCATTTCAAGATGTCAGTTGTTTTATGAAATGTTTGCAAATGTTAAGCGGGCTTTTCATCATATGTTGATACAATGTGCTTGAGGTTTGGTCAGAGCTCACACTAATAAACCACTGTCGTATGTAGCTTTTATTTGTATAGATAAGAATCTAACACAGGCCAAGCTATTCTTTTTCTTCACCTTTCTTCGTCCTAGTTATGTGGCACGCGTGTTAAATCCCAACATTAAAGACTCATCTTGCCGCTGATAGATATATATATATATATATATATATATATATATATATATATATATCGGAAATTGTTCGGAAAATTTAAAACCTCTGCCGATCTCTGTTGAAGATGGACGTCTGCATTTATAACATGATTTGCGATTATTTAATCTGAATTGGATTAAAATATCGAACAGGAAGCAAACATCACCGTCGACACCACCAGCTTAGCCCCCAACCACTTCGCTGGTGGGCTTGTGTCATGTTTTGCTTACCGATGTTAGGTAATCGAAGCAGATCAAAATTAAACTCGCTTTCTAGCTTTTCGCTTTCATCTTTGCCCAATACGCAAGACGAAACGAATTGACGTTCATTTCAATATCGCATACCGGGCAGGGGGAACGTGTATGTGCAGCGAGCGAGAGACAGGTACTCAGAGGGGGGGTGCGTGAGGAACTGTTGGCTACTAGCTCCTTTTCTCTTTGACAGTCGATTTGTTCTCTTCAGATTTCTGGCAGATGCAATTTACTTTGCGATGTTCGTCAAATCGGCCATCGATCCACTTTCGGGTGTATTTTTATTTTCACTTGCCGGCAGAAGGCGCATGCGCACCACAAACAACTTCAATCTCCGGTCGAGGCAAATAGTAATTCAAATCAATATTTATCACTTGTCAGCCAACTTCCTGATTGGAAGTTTTCAAATCGAAACTCCTAAGTTCCTTCCATTTCTTTAGTAAAATTTTGAATAACAAAGACTGATCGATAGAAAACGCAAGGAGTAAAATCTATAATCATTCGCATGAATATAAAATTAAAATTCAATCATTATGCATTTGTAATACATTATACATACACACACACATGTATATGTATATATATATATATATATATATATATATATATATTGAGAGAGAGAGAGAGAGAGAGAGAGAGAGAGAAAGAAAGAGACTGGACAGATAGATAGATAGATAGATAGATAGATAATGAACAGATAGAAATAGATAGATAGTTATGAACAGACAGAAACAGATGGAGAGATATGAATAGGCAGAAAGAGATAGATAGATAGATAGATAGATAGATAGATAGATAGATAATGAACAGACAGAAATAGATAGATAGTTATGAACAGACAAAAATAGATGGATAGATATGAACAGGCAGAAAGAGATAGATAGATAGATAGATAGATAGATAGATAGATAGATAGATAGATAGATAGATAGATAATTAACAGCAAGAAATAGATAGATAGTTATGAACAGACAGAAATAGATGGATAGATATGAACAGGCATAAAGAGATAGATAGATAGATAGATAGAGAGATAGATAGATAACGAACATACATAAATAGATAGTTATGAACAGACAGAAATAGATGGATAGTTATGAACAGACAGAAATAGATGGATAGATATGAACAGGCAGAAAGAGATAGATAGATAGATAGATAGATAGATAGATAGATAGATAGATAAAGTCGTTGAAAGATCACACCTTTAGTTACTCGTTTTTAATAAAATAGAATTTTGTTTGTATATTGTCCGCAATATAAAGTGGCTGATTCAGATAAATTAGAGAGAAAATTGTTCATAGGAGAACTGATATTGTTAGCGGATTGGAAACATTAAATTGACACGAGGTTTTGCACAGAGGGCATTTCAATGTAAATACAAGTAAGCGATTTTAATAATACGCCTAAAAGAAAATTTCATGACAAAAATTTGTTCATCGGCGTTATTACACAATGCCCCCAGATTTCAATGGCATTTTTACTGATAACATACGCTTGTAAATAAATGTTCCATCGTAAATAAGTTAGATTATTGCATCAAAACTTAGAAAACCTAATCGTGTGTTTCAATTTAGTCAAACAGATTTGAATCAAAACCAAATAACTTGTATTTACTATTTCGCTAACAAATTAATTCATTTTTTTTTTATAAATGATATAGCTTTCAGATGTATTGGCAGAACATTTTAAGCTGGCTTGATGTTTTATCGGAAAATTGAAAAAAAATAGTTTATTCCCTTTGAAACAAACATGTTTAATGAGATCTATTGGAAAATCTGAGTAGTTTTCGAAACAAGCGGTAGGGTCTTTTATCAACTCTATTGACTCGGTTCAAATCTAATTATTTTATGTCCTTCTAGATTGCCTGGTACACGACTATTGACTCAGTTACCTAAAACTAATGTTTTTATTTTATTTTGTTTTATTTTATTTGCATGAACCATGTAATGCCTAATTTTTAATTTTCACAAACTCGCTGAAGTCGGCAGACATTTCTAAAATAATCAATATGAAACCGAAAAAAAAATAAACATGAAATAACGGAAAACACATTTTGAATTATAAAAAAAAAAAATATTTACGGCCCTGAAAACACATAAAAACAGGGTAGTGTGTACTGAATCGGGTCCGTTTTTTGTGGGGTAATGGAACTTCTGCATAATTCCTTATTGCGTTTATTCTATCGCATTTCTGCTAGACTCAAATAGATCTTTTAGCATTATCAGAACAAATATTACATCTTCGGCTTTCAGAAAATGAAGAGTTTTATCTCTTTCATCTCCAGATACATTGTGATCATGTTTTTGAGCTGATTACCAAACACAAGGATGTAATGTAACTCCACATATTTGTAAATACTTTGAACTGTTTCTAAAAATAAAACTCGTCCGGTCACTGGCTGAGGCTATAACGATTTGATAAGATTAATACAAGATCACGAGGATGGTGCACCCAGTGCGGACCGAAATGACTACTCAAGCATAATATTTAGTAATTTAGCACAGTATTTAGCATAATCATCTGCGAAAAAACTTGTTGCTAAATACAATTCCGGAGCGATGGATCTTATTAGGAGATAATAAATGAAAAAAATAAATATTTATATAATATCGGTGTGACTGAAATGCCAACCAATTCAAAATAAGAAGGACTGACCGACTCTGAGAATTTGACTAAACCTGTTAATCTGTAAAATTACCTAACATTTCCCGTATCTCGCCGAATACTCCGATACCCCTTTAAATTCATCCACTAGGAAATAAATAATTTCCTTTTCTCTCAAATCCTTCCTTGAACTGTAATGATCAAACTATTTGCACATCTTTGCTAGATTTAATCGCCAACCCTGCACACAAGACAATGTGGTCTGCAATTTCCTCTCCCTGACATATTCTAAGGCAATTGTTTCTCTATAACATAGTAAAATGTATCCTTATATTGAAAGTTAAAGGCTTTATACGTTCATATAAGTGTTAAAATTAGACTATTCGTATTTCGATGAGAAATCTTTATATTTTTTCAATACGTTTTTCTGGGATTTTTACTCTGTTTCTCAAATAGTGAACGTTCAAACTCTGTTTAAAATATTATGACAATATAAAATTACATTTTCATAGTAAAAAGAAATATGACCAGCAATATATTTTTGAAAAAGAAATTACTAATGCTCCAAGAAAATTAAATTCCAGCATTAAATCACCCATAAACAGTTGATATGCCGCTAAAAAAAACACAAACACACTGATAAAACAAAACTTTAAATGCCAATATTTAAATTGGGCTACCACACCAAACTTTGATAATAGAATCTTCTAAGTAACATTTCCATATGAAATTATAGCAGACTATACTAAATTTAATAACTAGTAACAAGGTTTCAAACCTCTTCACTTAAATGACCGACGCAACACAATCTTCTTACTACAATTCATCACTGATATTTTGCTGTGCTATATCGTATGCAAAATTTAATATCTTAAGTATAGCCATGTTTAACAAGCTTGCTTTGCAGAGAATTAGATCAATGAGTGCTTTTTTATTTCTGGCTTTGTGCCAGACTTCGCTAAATTTTACAGATGCCTATAATCTATACTTCTGAATAGAAAGTAATTACAGTAATAGCTAATTTCCCTGTTGCATCGACACTAAGAAGGAAAGTGAAAGCCAGTAAATCTACGGTATCTTTTTTATCTTTTTTTTTCTTTTTAAATAGATACATTAAGTTCTGGATAGCATAAGAGTAACATTTAAGTGTATTATGAGCGTCTACAGGAAATAGTTGCAGCAGATAAATTGATTAAAACTTTGAGAAAAAGGAACACGTTCGTGTTGCCAAATTTAAGAGACGTAAAAATACACCAAAGAATTCTTATAATCAATGATAGTGAATCGTGTGGTCTTCTTCATGTACTTAATGGAGAAACAAGCTGGGTGTATGCACTTGCTGCCACACAATGGTTAACAGGCAGATTATTGTTTACCAATTTGTTTGCGAGGTGAATTGTGATACACTAAGCCAATATTATTAATAAATTGGGTGTCTGCTGTAAAGTACTGTAATTGAGGGCATATAAGGCGCACTTTTTTTTACTAAAAATATATGTTTTAAAATTCCCCTGCGTTTTATATGCCATATATAGGTTAAAATGCTTTATAGTTGGCCGAAGTTCCATGACGTATTATTTAACGACGATGATAAATAAAAGTTTTGATAACGAAGACGACGAATTTTATAGATTTGAAGATGAATAAAATTGTAATGGTAACTGTACTGTTTTGCTCAATTGTAATAATTGATTGATTTTTATTTTGTTTTCTTATGTTTGGATATAATAAATATTTTATAGGCTCGTGTCCATTTTTTCCAATTATTGTTTGAATGGGCGCTTGTGGTCTGTGTTTGAATGGGGGATTTGGGCCTGTGTTTGAATGGGGGATTTAGGCCTGTGTTTGAATGGGGGATTTGGGCCAGTGTTTGAATGGGGATTTGGGCCTGTGTTTGAATGGGAGATTTAGGCCTGTGTTTGAATGGGGATTTAGGCCTGTGTTTGAATGGGGATTTAGGCCTGTGTTTGAATGGGGGATTTAGGCCTGTGTTTGAATGGGGGATTTGGGCCAGTGTTTGAATGGGGATTTAGGCCTGTGTTTGAATGGGGGATTTGGGCCAGTGTTTGAATGGGGGATTTGGGCCTGTGTTTGAATGGGGATTTGGGCCTGTGTTTGAATGGGGGATTTAGGCCTGTGTTTGAATGTGCGCTTGGGGCCAGTGTTTGAATGCACATTTGAGTTTTGTGCATGGATTATGAAGGATAAAGTATATTCTTTCGTATGATGCAAGTGACAAATTTTGAGTTTTATATTTGTGTACAAATCTCAAAGCTTTTTGAGATCAAATTTAATATGTTCGAGCTAAGAGAAATGGAAATAAATATATATATTATAACTAGCCACTCGAAATATCAGTTGAAAGTTTTATTTCACTCTATCGATCGTTTCGACACTAACTCACCAGTCGAGCGCAAAGTCATTATTAAAATCAAGGAACTTCCCCAAGTCTATTAATTCTACATCTTCGTTTGTCAAGTGAATCTCTGCAGCCCCTCGATATTACGCAGACGCAACTTACCAGTAGCTGAGGAGACAAAAACAACATTTTGATAATATCACATCTGAACGATACAAAAATATCAATCAGACATACAAGTGTGCTGAGTTCAATTGTTGGGGGGAAGAAGTAGGAGCCGAGGGAGCATCGGCCCCAGGCATCCATATTGGGAGGCCATCCATATCCAAAAGTGAAATAAAAATTTAGTGTTTGAAATAAAGTGTTTACTTCATGAATCATCTGTTTTTACATACAGTGTAGCCCGGATATAAGAGAGTTGTCGGGACCGGAGAAGAAGTCTCTTATATCCGGGTTTGGTTTATTTTATATACATTAACACAGGATCTAATTTGGGACCAGAGAAAATCTCTCTTATATCCGGGTTTGGTCTATTTTGTTTAGGTAACACAGGCTCTAATTTGGTACCAGAGAAAATATCTCTTATATCCGGGTTTCCCTTATATCCGGGTATCTTATATCCGGGTTACACTGTATTAAAATGTCTTCCTTTCTTACATTTTTCAGTACTAGGCCCTATAAGACCCCCCCCCTACTTGAGTCTTACGAGTATACAATCAAAACCAAACCTTTGCACGGGACTGAGTGAGTTCGACCCTCACTGAGTACACACCTATTGTGGCAAGACAAAACTTGCTCATTAAATATATACGCCTATGGTTAGTAACCTCGCCTTCAAAAAAGAATTCACAAATATAATCGATCCTCACTGGGTGTCGTTATAATATTGTACCAAGGAGAAGGTTTGAATATAAGCTCTGCGTTAGTATTTTGAAGAATATTAATGCTGTTTCGTACAAAGTATTCTCTACACACTAGCCATGTGCCAGACATAGACAATAAATCCATATATGGTGCCTGCAATGGCACGTGAGTTAGTAATCTTTTCGTATAAACCAATTCATTCTTGTCATAAGTTCGATATAT